CAATCAACTTGTTCATGGACAGAGAGAGAAAGAGTTAAGGGCTAAGTCTTTAAATAATTAATTATAAAAGTCTTTAAACTTAGTGTTCAGAGGTTACCGATCCCCACACCACAAATACATTAGGTTGATTCAGAGTGGCCATCAAAAACCAGAAAGCAAATTACTTTTGACCAAAAAGTATATATCAACAGCACGTTAAGAATATTTCACAGAGTGGGATAAAACAAACAGAACCAATTCTCAGTGCACCTTAGCATGGTTCGCAAATGGAGCAGTCCCCCAAAGAGAAGACCATTCTCCAAAGTATGTTGTTTATATCACAGGCTTTGACTCATCTTTAATGAAGGAAGAAAAAGTTAAGACTTCTCTTCAGCATTTCCAATATAAAAGGACTGAGCTGGATGCAAAAGCATCTTGAATGTCTGTCTTGAATGGGGTTTTCAGTCTTCCCTCACTACTCCAGGTAAAGCAGGATCAGCCAAGTGATCTCTTTAACTAAGAGAATGCCGTAATTCCTATCCTCATGGTAATTGCATATGATGATATATTACATATCTGATAAAGTTTATCCAGAAAATATGCCAACTTCATGAAACATGGATCTGATGATATGAATAACCCCCTTTTTTTTTTGGCACCTCTCTGTGTCTTTGGTCTAAAATGAAAATCCTGGCTTGATGCAGGCATTTAGAAAGGATTCCTTGCCCTGTATAAGCAGAATCAATCATGCAACGATGACTCTGAACTCACCTAGAGAGAAGGAAGTAGAGGATATGGAATACTACTTTATTCCAAGAAATGCTGTTTTATAGCTTGAGGATACATATGGTCACAAATAGCAACAATAGAACAAACACCAGACCCAAAGGCTGAGCGTAAGGAAACCCCACACACATATACCAAGAAGCAAACACTATCATTAATAATAATAATTATTATTATAGCTATTATCAGGATGGGGCATTGATGGTTCACTTGGGTATAATGTATAATACATCAGCTAGAAAGAACCAAGGGTAAACTTATTCTTATCTTTAAAAGGCAGTTTGTATTCTGGTTTATATGACATGAGCTACATAATTAACACACACAAGAAAATGATGCAGGAAGAGATGAAGACTTATGCCTTTATTTCAGTTGTTGTATTGTTAATATCAATCTTAAAAATAATGATGAAAAGGTTAGCTGTTTTAAAATATGGGTGTTATGGGGTATGGTAAAATATGCTTGTGGCTTTAAAACAGTGGCACAAAATATATATTTAAATTATAGAACTTGTCATTGGACACTTCTGTCTATACATTAATGAGAAAATAAATATATAAAATAAAAAACAAAAAAAAAGTTAGTGGCTAGATCCTACCTATCATTCCTTGGAAGCCTGTCTCAATGCCAAGCCATCAGAGCCTTTCCTGATCTTTTGAGGACATTTTAATGGTGGTAACACCAAACCAGGGTAAAGGAGAAACAGAGAGGATCAGAAGACTGAAAGGGAAAAAATGAAATGGAAAGAAAAAAAGTTTGTATTGTTTACACCATCCAGTCTGACAAATGTTACAGATGCTTTCTGTTTGCTTGGGATAGTTTATTGCTTATGTCATTTCTTTTCTTTTCTTTTCTTTTTTCTTCCACGTGCTTTCCTTTACCAACTTTGGCTGAAAATACTTTGTATGTGTCCATACTGTAAGCCCTCATATTTTTGTAGAGATTTAGTGTAGTGGAGAAGCACTTTTTTTTCTTCCCCAAGGGTTAGGCATATCAATATTCTAGCTACTCACTTTCGAGGCCAATGGAAAATGTGCTCCTAAGATTAAATAGACCTGAGTAACACATAAATCCAGTTTATACTGATGCAGTGTGTTACATAGTTACTCACATCCTGAATTTCTGATGAGTGGAATACACCTTTTGGACAACACAGTACTACCGAACCGCCACTGACTGTAATTCAAAGACGGCAAGGCAGGACTAAACCCTAACTATAGGTTCTCTATGGAGAGCCTAATTTGCACAGAGCCCTCTTCATCTGTGGAGCTCTGAGTGCAAAGGATCTAGTCTAGTTACAGAAAACTAGGTTCTTTAAATATTCTTAGAGTAAACTAGAGCAATACATAGAAGCACATTGGGAGTGCCCTTTGTTCAACAATATACTGTCTCTTTTGACCCTCACTTCCCCAAACAGTGCTTTTGTTTTTTTAATTATTCAGACTATTAATATGTAATCCCTTCCTTTTCAGACTTTGTAAGTGCCCCTTTAGGAAGAAACCTTTCCTTTCTGCCAATAAATCTTTAAAAAATGATGCTTTTAAATCTAGTGCTATGTTTGGTTTAAGTGGGTTGGCCATACAGGTTAGTGGTAGCCACAATGGGCTCCTAAAGTAGAGCACTCTTTCCCTTTTACCTCAGATACAGAATTGTATAAAACACAGTGTATATCCCATAATGATAAAACTAGCAGCAAATTATCATTCTGAGCCAAGTAAAAATAGTGCCAAAAAAAAAAAAAAGGTCCCCAAGAAGCCTAGCCAAATCTGTGAAATGTCTCTCTGGTCAACCAAATTGCCCTTTGGATAACAGATGTACCCAAGAATATTATGAAACACTCTGATGAGACTTTATGATCAATTGTTACATTTTAGGAAATATAATGGCAGTATACTTAGAAGAAAAATACTCCTATATACAATAATTAGAACTATTTATCTAAATGTTTATATCATTAACATGTGAAAAAGTCCTTATGGGCCTGAAATCGTGATGGACTAAATGCTGTGATGTCCGGGGTTTGCTTCAAAATAATATGGTAGTAGCTTGGGAAATGGCAGACCATGAGTTCATCATTGGGCAACCCGGGGGATGGGTCCATGGGAGTTCACTGGAGTAGCGTGTCTACGTTCATGTATTTGAAAGATTTCATAATTAAAAATTCAAAAATATATACTGATTTGAACTTTTACTCCTTCAGTCATTATTGATTGATTCATTTACTCTTTATATGCAAGACATGGGGATGTAAAAAGTGAAACAAAACAAAACAAAAACCCCCAAAATGCTCTTGTTGCATATTTAGATTAAATAAGCTATTCCTCTTTAGGAGTCGTATATATTTATGTAAAATGACATTTATAAGAACCATGTAATTACATGTAAAATTTTTAGGTTAAATTTTGAAAGCAGGACACAAAATTATGTACAAGGTATGTTTACAACATGTTTTTTAAAAAAGTATATCCCCAGGGGAAAATGAGAGTAAAGAAATACATCAAATGGTTATTAATGATTGGATTTAAATTATAGAAATAATTACTTGTATTTTTCTTCATTTTACTCCTATGTGTTTTTCCAAATTATTTTTAATGAGCATGTATCATTTTAAAATGAAAATAAATTTTTATTCATTAGTGGATAAGATGTGCTCTCCTTTCCCAAGGAGCTTTTCACTAAAACAGAGAAACTGCAAACACACAGCTTTGCCCAGATACTTTAAATCTTCATACCTAGAAGTGAAATACACCCACAGGAAAAGAAACGTCAATACAGATTTTTATCTGATCATAGACACATAAAGAGCTTTCTGTGTGTTAGAAATAGGGGAGGAACTGGCTTCTCTGCAAGCCAGAAAGAGTGTGAAATTCAGGCCATTTTGTGATGAGATCCTTTTGCGATGAAAGCAATGGGAGCAACAAATTAAAGTTACCAAGTAATCCTGTCCCTTGAGTCCTGCCGCTCACACCGATAGGAGTTTCTTTTTAGTCAGCATAACAAATAAAGCATGGGACTGGAAGTGGGGTGGTGGGAGTGGTTACAATCCTAAAGGCTCCAGGCCTTCACTGGTGAGATGGATATGTTCAGAGAGACAGAGGTAGATGTGGGACAGAATTAGAAACAAAAATACAGCGACAACTATGGATTTTGTGCAATGGATATGGAAAGTCCCCGTTAGAAAGCTATCTTTATTACCCCAAGAGATTATTTTCTTCATTTTATGCACATTCATATAAAGTGAAGTCAAGAGTGTAACTTTTAAAAGGTTTGGATGAATATGATGTTCATGACTAAATAGGCCTGGCTGGAGCCAGGCAGAATATCAGCAGATGCCAGGCAAGTCACCCCCTCTGGTCCTCCTCCCTCTCCAGTAAACTTGCCAGGACATTTCAATGCTGGCCAACCTCTAGCAAACACAGGTCTTTTAGGCTCTTTCTGACTTGATGATGCTCTACGAAAAGACCCTTAGTCCTGACCTGCACTCTCCTCCCAGCCACTGAAATCTCAAGAATTCTAGAAGGCCACAACATCAACCTTTTCGAAACTTCACCAATTTCCACTAAAAGACACATGGACCTCAAAGCTTTCAATGCTAGGCTCACTCGCAGCTCTGGTCTTGGTCCTCTTAGCTCGTAAAAGAGGTTGCTATCTATATTCATGCTCCGAAAGGACATTTTCCCTTCCACTTGTGGGTGTACACAAGAGCAATCATGTCTGATTTTAAGATTGATTCAAATGAAACAAATGCGCTTCAAATTTTTAGCATATCATAGAATAATAATAAGTAGTTCAAAGCATCACAAAATGTGTTTGGAAGGTTCTGTGTTTGTTTAATGCCAAAGCATCCAATGTTCCACATGGGAAACATCACCCTCTCTGTCCATTCAGGCGTCTCCTTTGGAAATCTGTATCTCTGGAGAGTCTGCCAAACAAGCCCTTTGAATACTTCCATCTCTGCGTGGCAAAATCATCGTGAAATGTTTGTTGAAATCTGTGATCATAGGTTCTTGGGATCATGTTTCTAATCATTCTAAATGATGGTATTTCAAATGAACAAACTGGACATAAAATCTGTAGCCTTCACCAACGTCAAAATACTTTCTATTCAAATTTAGTACACCACAGCCTTTAGGTTGAATTCTTTCAGAGAAAGAATTCAACCTGGGAGAAACATACTTGACTTCTTGGCATCTCAATATTGTGGACTGCCATTTAGGGGTAACAAAGTTACTCACCCGACAGCAAAGTTGTGATGAATATCCAGTTAGTGATGGCGAAACATTCTGAAATGAAAAGAATATCATAAATGCTGGGCATTTAATAAATGCGTGACAACATGGTGATCATGGAAAATAACCCATTTGCTTCTCACCTTGGGATGCTGACTCAGTGATACTATACTACACGGAGAGTAAAGGAGACTTCCTTTTGGGAAGGAACATACAAGTGTGCACTGGGAAAGTGGCATGTGTAGCTGTCTGCATGTTCAGCTTTAAGGGCTCGAACCAGTTGCAACCAGTTGTGAATGACTTGCTGCCCATTTTTGCAATTCACTGTAACTTGTATTGGGAAAGTTATGTTTTATGGTTAATTATCCATGGTCTGTTTGAAAAAATAAATCAAACCATTGTGAGCCACCAGGATTTGCAGCTCCATTTGAACTTTACTGTACTTTTGATTAAACATTTTGTAAATAAAAACAACTGGTTTCTTCTTGTTTTTGGTTGTTTGTTACTTGTGTTCTGGATATAAATATTGTGGCAATGGTGGGAGAACAAGTTATGGATTATTTACCCCTGGTTTCATGAGTTGTGAGTTACTGGCCTTATTCTCCTTCATGAGTATAAATAAATGTATAGTATTATATTCCAAGTCCTGTAAGACAAATGGAACGACTGAACTGAAACCTTTTAAAACCAAAACCTTTTATGCTAAGTCACAGAGCAACAAAACAAACCCCAAATTAACATTTAAAAAGCTTCTACTGTGGAGCAACAAAATCCCCCAATATTACATAATCTGCATTTTAAAAACTGCTTGCCTAACTAGCAGCAGTCTATCAATAATTCCACATGCTTGTCTTTTCGCTGCTTTTATAATTTAGAAGCCATAGATGGTTTACCAGAGATCACCTCCCACCCCCAATATCACCACCAGAATGAAGCCTTGAAAATAACCAGCATAACTAACTGAAGTCAAAATTGATTTAGAAAGATCCGGAATTATTGTAACTAAAAGTAATGAAACTCTATGTAAAGGAAGAACTTTATATAAATTTGTCTACAGTCATCATTCTAACACTTATATAAATAAAAGGAGTCTGAAACACAATTGTCCAGGGAAAATGAGAAAAGCCAAGATTCAAAGACCCTGTGGTACAAGGCAAGAGGAATATATTTGAGGCCCAGAATCCGAAGTTCCCAACACATTTACATATGAAACTAAATGAGGACCACCAAAGTAGCTTGCCAAAAATTATGTTTTTTAAATGCTCCACTGTCCTATGCAGCACTGACCACTGAAAAAGACCTCTAGGAAGCATAAAATTGCCTTCTGTGATTTGCTACTTTTATAAAGACAGAGACAGGATGATAAGGGCTTTCTTATAAAATGGGGTGATCTGTCCATCGCTGGGACCTGAAGAGCACTGCATCTGATTTCATCTTACCCCTTTATTCCTCTCAAGGCTCACTGTTCACCTGTGTAAGCACTGTGAAGGAATGGCCACTGAAGGTCCCTCACCAGCTCACCAAAACGTGGTAAAATATTTATGAAGGGGCTACTATATGCCAGGCACAACTAGAGTAATTCTGCTTGGAAAGGTAAGTCAGTGGCTAAGGTTCTTGTTGCAACATTTAAAAATATCTATTACTACTGCCAACAGTGAGGAGAAGCTAGGTTGAAAGTGTTATGAAGGACTTCTGAAAAATTAGAAACTGTTTAAAACTCTCCCTGGCTTCTTGGATGCCCTGGGAACAGGAAGTTTAGGCCTGTCGGCCCTTCGAAGCCCGGATCCCACATTACCAAAGAAAAACTAGAAGTAGCCTATATGTGTCCAGGGTCCTGGTTACAATTGAAAATGAGGGCTGACCAGAATCAGTTGGCAGCCATCAGACGCTGAAAGGTCAATTCTGCCCTAAGTATGGTTCAGAAAGTGTAAAAACCTACTGAGATGAAAACAGAAGCTAATCTGAGAAACAAGCAGAAAAAAAAAGTTCAAAGATATTTTACTTGAAGACATTTTCTTCTATTTCTTTTATAATACACGCCTCCAACTCTTTTTGACAACCAAGAAAACGCTCTATCTATAGAGTTCTAAGTTTTCTTTTAAATTCAGGCAACCCATTTGAAAATCAGGATATACAAGACTCCCTGTATATGGAACTGCCCACCAAAAATAAGTGCTTGGTTACAGATGAATAATCATGTTCAAATTCTATTAAAAAGTATGGTATTTTACATAATGCAGGTATATACATACAGAATTGCATCCTGGAATCCGAACTCAGCCATAACACATGGAGAGGGACACTCAGAAAATGTATACATAGGAATATGATTTCCTGGTGACAGACCAGAGTATTTTGATCAACTTTCCTTATTTTTCCACAAACAAATCTACCTGAGCTATAGATCCTTTTAAGAAAAAAACCAGGAAGCATACTGATAAAATACTTAAAAACTCTATACTAGCTTACTCATTATTCATTAAGACAACTAAAGATGCCCCCATGTCATCACAGATACAAAGACATGATAACCCCAATCCTCTCGATCACTCGGTTGTTGCAAGAGAGACACACATTGAAGCAATGAGACCTTAAAAACCAGATAAAACTCTCCTGGCTTTGATTTTTATCTTTATGCAGCGGATTTTTTCTATAAAAAAGGAATCCTAAATATAATAGCTAATGCATAAATGAAAGGTAAACAAACTAGGACATAGCCAAAATCTTTTTTTAAAAAAGTGAAGGAACACTCAGCTCTTTCCTTCGGTAAAATCAGATGAACCAATTTCATCTGATTTTCCATCCAGAAGAAAAGTATGACCTGCAGGAATGTTCCGGACCTCCAGTACAAGGAGATTCATCTCCTTGCCTCCCTCTCTTGGATTGCATTACGAACGACCGGAACTATCACCAGCACCACCTCTAACACACCTGATCTTACTTTCCCCTAGCAGCTACCCAACAGTGCCTACTCCTGTGCACCCATTTATGACGGTTGATAGGCAGAAACTACAAAGGAAGAATAAAACAAAACCAAAAAGTCCTCCAACTTCCCTCATCAGGTGCATGTCTGATTCCCGGAGGTCATCAGTCCGTTAAATGAAATAAAATATTATAAACAGGGACAGAAGACTGATAGACCTCATACAAATCTGTGTTCCCACTTAAACTGGGAAGGGAGTTGTTCTGGTGAAAAAGTGGGGGGTGTGGGAAAGGAGTGAAGAGCTACAAAGGGACAGAGACTTAAAGGTGGTGCAATGAATTCGCTGTGCCAGGGAAGAGTATGACGGAAAGTTCTAAATGAAAATTCCAGAAACTGCAGGCTCCTAAGTGGAACTGTTGTTTAGGGGATGAATTCTATAGGGAGTCTGAATTAAGCGTCTGTGCTATAGCATCTAGATGTTTTCTCTTTCATTAAGACTTAGAGTTTGTCATGAGAAAAAAAAAAATAGAGCTTTCTACAACCCCCAAAGTAAAAGGCGAGAGAAAGACAGGGTTTATATAACTGGCTTTTTACATAAACATTACATCAGGATACATTTCAAATGAAAACACACACACACAGCCATCTTCCTTATCCTCTATTTTAAAATTCATTTCATACTTTAAATGTTTTTGATTTTTCACAAAACAAGTAAAAACCAAGTCAGCATTAAACACCTCAGAATAATTTCAGTCTTATATTACTTGGAAAATTCATCACATCATGGAGGGTCGCAAAATCCTGTTTTAAAGCCAGTGAAGGCACTGACAATTATGGGATGTTTTGCTGCAGCCTAGGGCAACTAGAAATGGCCACGGATGTTAACTAACTCCCTCCTCAACAGTCTGAGAAAAGGGAAAAAAAAACTGTAAGTTTCCCCATCTGTTATTTCCTTTTTTTTTCTTTTTGGCTGTGGAAAAGTAAAATTATGCAAGAGCTTTTGAATGTAAAGGCTGTGTGTGCTTTTTCCCTTTTTGTCTCTGTGTACCGGTTATGTGATGTTGCGTAACTGAGTACAGAGTAGGCGGTTAGCGTTTACTATTGATTTACACTATGCCATCTAATGAATTCATAGCACTAAAAAGAAAGGAAAGAGAGGGGGAGGGAGGAAAAAGAAAGGAGAGGACGGCAAGAGGAGAAAGGAGGAACAGAGGAAAGAGAGAAAGCTCATTTAGAGAAACAGTTCTAAAGCCTAGAATAGTTTCATTCTTATTCCCTCTAGCTCTGACTTCTGGTTATTGTTCAGATCTCAGAAAAACGGACTTTGAGCTAGTGACCCCAATATTACAATCTTATTCTAATGAGGATTACTGGCAGGTGAATGTCTGAAAGTACTAATGTGTCAAATTACTTGAAAGCAATTCCACTCAACTGTCAGACTTCTCCATATGCACCTATTTATCATTCTCTATGCATTTATGACTCTGTATCTGTGATAGCTGATGCTATAGTTCAACTAGTTTACCTAGCCACAAATACTATTTGAAAGACACACAGGGCAAAGCGAAATATGTTCTACCTTACCCATCTCCTTTTAAAACTGCATGAAGAATGCATTCAGAAATCTTTGAAAGGGTCACTATTTTACTTTGGAAGAAGATAGGCCACAAATTATTTGGCTACACAGAACTGCCTAATAATACAGGATAATCAGAGAGAAATGGGCAAAAGGAGGAAAGATTCTAAACTGATGAACAACACTTGAAAAGGAAATTTAAAGAATTTCTTATATTATGCCCATGGAAAGCACTTAAAATTTAACTTTGATCAGGACAATGATAGACATTCCTAGCCCTCACTGTTTGCCATGAGTTCCTAAATGATAGGCCGGAAAGTAAGGGTAAGTTGGTTCTGCTGCTAGACACAGGACCTTCCTGTACCTGAGTGCCCTCCTATGGCTGAGAACAACTTGTAAGATGAGGAAAATAAATAGAAGTTCTCTTTATTAGCAAGGCTAATAAAGCTTGTTTCCTTCCTGAATGTGGGTTTGTAAATGATGACTAGGAAACATCACATCCAAAAGAAAGAACAAGAGTGTGAGCTTTCATTTCTGATCGTCCAATCATCTCTT